TCTGCTTACAAATGTGTAAAAATATTGATGTTATCTTTTGCCATATTTGAAAGGTACCAATGCCCATGTCCATGGCATCCACGAAACAGGGGTTTTCTTTCAACCGGCTTTTCATATTTTCCAAGACTGACCGACCTTCCCGTTTCAAGACCAGTCGTTCTCTAAATGGTTATGTCCTACACGACCACAGAAGCTTTTCATATGTGCCGGCACATCACACTGTGTTAGTGGCAAAGTTCGCTCGTCGAGAACCCAATTTTTCATCTCGACGTCGACACATTGCTGCATAATTTGCATTTCACTCAATGAATCACGAACGTTAAAAGTTTATGCATCATGTACCGCGGCTTCGCGGCTGAATTGGAAAGCCCACACGCATAGGCAAGGGCTCTGCAGAAACTTTTAGAGCATACAATATCGATACTGCTGGTTGCGAGGAATGATGGCAACATACAGCATATCATACATGGACTGAATACCAGCTGAGTAGTGCTGCACAAGTCGTCACCACATTTTGCTTCACACGTTTTTGTGTGTGGAAAATGTTGTGTGATGAGAAAAGGAGCGGAATGGTGTTGATGTTTTTTATGAAATCGTGGGAAGTCAACACATGTAGCTTCAAAAAACGCCTCTGTCAGGTCTCGCCCTGATAGTGGAAGGGGGGGGGTGATGCAACCACCTGAAGTTTTTGTGATTTGTCTCGCTACTGTCAAACAATCGCGTCAAATTTATAAGTCGCCTGTGAGGCATTCATTGCGTATGTTTTGAAACCAAAAATGTGCTCCGTGCTTTTCTGGTTGCGTCGCAGCCAGGATTTTTGAGGAACATTGCACGGCGAATGATAAAAACGTGTGTTCAAAATGCGTACAGATATGGATCAATGCACTCAGCATTACGCAAAAAATGGACTTTTTAAAATTCCGTGTCGCCAAAAAGCGTGGTCTCGTAGGCTCTGATGTGGAGCCAAAAAGTGTGATTTGGGGGAAAAATTCGACATTTTCACCTGTCATAATGGGGTCAATTTAAAATACAGCATACGAACTATCCGCAATCGCGAAATCTCATTGGAACCAATCCATTAGTATTCCACTTATCTTTATCTAGATTAGTTTGGAAACGCCAGGTGGTTACATCAACTGTCCCCCGTTTCTATTAGTCCCCATTATGAAAACCGGCGAATCAGGGTGAGTGTTAAACCTCGCAAGCTTCGGTCGCACCACCCAGCCGTCAGCTCGTCGCGTTGGTGTCATCCTATTGATTCCATATTTTCTGGACACGGACAAAATATGCGGTGCTGAAGAAGTAGCCATGTGGATTTTCCACAGCATGTAGTGGTGCTCTGAAGTCGCGTGTTGTGTTCACATGGCTGGTCGGATCAAGCGAGGCCAGATCACTCCGTGCCGCGCGGTAAATCTGCGTTACTGTCAAGCACTAGTATTGCCAACGGCACCCCTGTGGATTTTTTGCGGGCCTTGAATGGGTATAATATAGCACAATGGTTCCTTTGAGAACAATTCAGCAATACGTTGATATGACTTTGAACTCCCATATGGCCTTGCTTAAGCAGCCCTTTTGCACGAATCGGGATCCCAGAAGCAAAAGAGGAATGCAATGAAAACAAACATACAGAAAACGTTGTCATTGCGGCATTCATATGGCCTCATCAGATTGGCTATCTTCGTTCTTTGCGTACTCTTGGCAGCTTACTGATCAAAGGCTTCGCCAGGTTCTTATCGAGTGGTATATTCAGCCAATATTAAACAATTTCGGCGCAACAGAGATGAATGAATCCAGTGACTTGCCCGACCGAATCACTGCCAGGTGGGTTATGATTCAACCATGAAGTCACAGCATAAGGCACGCAACAGCAGGCTGGATGGCACCGTCAGAACTGAGCCGACTTTACGATCCGATAAACCGTCCACAGAGGCCACCGTCAGGAAGTGAGCCGACTTTACGATCCGATAAACCGTCCACATGGGCCACCGTCAGAACTGAGCCGACTCTGCGACCCGATAAACCGTCCACAGAGGCCACCGTCAGAAGTGAGCCGACTTTACGATCCGATAAACCGTCCACATGGGCCACCGTCAGAAGTGAGCCGACTTTACGACCCGATAAACCGTCCACATGGGCCACCGTCAGAAGTGAGCCGACTTTACGACCCGATAAACCGTCCACAGAGGCCACCGTCAGAAGTGAGCCGACTCTGTGACCCGATAAACCGTCCACAGAGGCCACCGTCAGAAGTGAGCCGACTTTACGACCCGATAAACCGTCCACAGAGGCCACCGTCAGAAGTGAGCCGACTTAACGATCCGATAAACCGTCCACATGGGCCACCGTCAGTACTGAGCCGACTCTGCGACCCGATAAACCGTCCACAGAGGCCACCGTCAGAACTGAGCCGACTCTGTGACCTGATAAACCGTCCACAGACGCCGCCATATCAAAGCCAGCCTTAAGCGGACGATCCGCCTGCGCGCCTTGCGGACGGCGGATCGGCCGGCCGCCTCCGCCGCCCCAACACAGCGTGAACTGACCTGACACGCTGTCCCGACTTCGGATCGCGTCGTCCCGGACCTCCGACGCTCCGCGACATCCCATTAGCCCCCAGCTCGCGCCAGGGCAAAAGTTGGCTAATTCAGGCGGCGACGCGCCTTGTGGTTCACTGAAGCGCCGACGGCAGTGCCTGGGCGGCACGGGGCGCGCCGGTGCTGGCGCAGGCCGGCCGCTGGACCGCCCCGTCCGGGCGCCGCACAATTTGAGGATTTATGGCAGCGGTGTCCCGCGAGTCCTCTTAAGATCGTTCCTGTTCTGAGCCAAGCGCGTGTTTTTCGGAAAGAAACCGCCTCGCTGCGGGTGAGACCAAGTGAAATCGAACGCTGATCTCGACGCCGGCTGCTGCGGGGGGGGGGGAGGGGTGAACCTGCTCATTTTAGGGAAGTAGCAAAGTTGTGACATTTCGCAACAACATACGGTGGCTCTTTCTGACATTGTTCAAACCGGCCTCACAATGCGCGATGGTGTCTGCTTTGTGATCTTGCCATAACTGAGGATAAATTACTTTTCTTGTCTGCCGTCTTGTGACCCCAGTGACCACGGCAATGTCCATATAGGAGGACGTCATGAAATCGATCGCGACAAAACAGCGTTGGAAAAATTTATGTGTAGCATGGCCATTCTTACTTAGCACCTATTTTACTTAAAAGGTGCACCGCATCTGCGCACAAAATTGCTACTGCAACATGTTCTTGCTTAGTAATAATAATCAATGCGGTGAATTTTGAGCAATAAACCTTTCAGTAACGTACATATAACATTTCTAACAAATATATCATGATGGATCATTTGGCATGAGCTCAGTTATTCACTATTAACAGATGAATCATCCAGCTGATGGCGTTCTAGATGCATCAGAAGCCAATTAGTGCAAGAGACTTGAGTGGCATGGATCAACCGAAATTGCAACGATGGTTTAATTGTGCTTTCGATTAAATTCACTATATTGCCGTCCCTTTCGGCTTGGTCGCATCATTTCGACCCAAATGACAAAGAGGGACAATGCCGCAGCCGCCACAAGACCGTGTGAACAACAGACACGTCGCGCTAGGTTGTCGTCTCTATGGCTGTAAGGGCGTCGGAATGCCCCAGAACGCTAGTTGTTCAGCGCTCCTTTGTAAGGTGGCTGTTGGTGCACGACGAGCGAAGTGTTCACGTGAAGTGCAAATGGTTATGACCGATCGCCGCCCTTAGTTGATGCTCCATGTCTAGCTGTGTACAGGGAATGGAACCTTATTACTCGTACTTAGTCGTTCCCTGCTGCAGTGGAGTAGTGAGTCATTCTCATTTCTTTCAGAGATGCTTAGGCAAGGGATGGATTTTCTAGGCATCATTTATTTTTATGCTGACTTTGATTCAAGCCAAAATTGCTCGAATACGGTGCATTACCAGGCTCCTGATAATTACCTGGCCACCAAGAAAGATTGGACTGGCCCCTGTCATTCTGTCCTATCATTGGTATCTGTTATTTTACTAGCAGGTACAGCTTTCAGAGAGACTGGGGTTAACCCATGGAAGCTACAGTACATAATGAGCCACATTCGTTCACGATTGTCCCCATGAACTTGGGTGCTTCTTGCCAGGAGGTTATACTTAAAGCACTGATGATTATGCAAAGTTCTTGCGGCGGCATGGATTCGTTCGATATGCAATAAGCGAAATTATGCTCACAATTGCGTCAAGACTTAAGGTCGTTATTTTTTAAAAAGACGGGAAGCATCTCTACTTGCGTTGTTATGCTGACGAGTATCTGTATGAGTTCCAAATGCTAGGTTGGGAAATTATAATTGTCCAGTGGTGATAGGAATGAAAATGGAGCAATGTTTTTTGTTGGCTCGATTTCACTTCATACAACAATACCCCAATATTCTATTCAATGTGTTAAAACCACGAAGTTAATTGGTCGTTTCGGAACAAAATGTTTCCAGTGCTCTACTATGCGTGTCTCTGTAGCGCACAACTATGGAATATTTGTGATACAATGAAGCTTTCTGTTAGCAAATAGAATTCAAATGTTTTGATTCAGTCAGTGTCATAATGACTTGCAATAAATTGCGACACTAGCATCCGATGCCATGATGTCCTTAAAACTAAAAACATCGCTATCCAGCCAGCTCATAAAAACAGACCTTTTTCCACACCACTATTCCTTGGCTCCTGCGCAGCAGCACTCAAACAAGCCTGCAGCAGTTCGCTCCGGACGTTGTCCGGGTTGCCCGCGGCCGTACCTCCCGTGTGCCATCCGTCTCGAAGCCCGTGCGGCGGGGAGGGACGTAAACACCAGCCGGGCTGTCGGTTGCCGAGGACGTGGCTGCCGTGCCCGCACCAGTTGCGTGACCCCCCCTCCCGTCCGTTCCGCCCCGCCCCCGTGGTCGGGTCGTTTGCGGTCAGTGGTGACCTGTTGTCCGGCGGCGGCTAATGCGGCGTGACGGTTACAGAAAGCACGACTGGCGCGCATCAAGCTGGCCAAGGCGTCGTCTGGGGCGGCGTTCGCCAGCAAGAAGAAGGCGTCCGAAGCGCGACTAGCCGCGCAGGAGGCGGGCCTCGAGCTCGACGGCCACAAGGAGGACGACATCTTCGAGATGCAGCACCATCACTTGTTACGCTGCCTCGAGAAGACGACGGTAAGAGGCCGCCAGGGCGGAACAATGAGCGCCGGGCTAGGCCCAGGCCGTGGGCGTCACGGTCCAGCTCCGCAACACCTGAACAATAGACGTCACACACTGTTGTTAGCTGGGCGCGTTGTGGGCAGGGTACACTGACCGGCTTCTGTGCTCTGTGTCCGATGGGGATGGTGAGGCATCTTTGTCCGCCGGTTAGTGCATCTTCGTTCGTTGGTTAGTGCGTCTTTGTTTGTCCGCTGGTTAGTGCATCTTTGTTTGTCCGCTGGTTAGTTAGTGCATCTTTGTTTGTCCACTGGTTAGTGTAGATTTGCTTATCCACTGGTTCGTGTATCTTTGTTTGTTGGCTGGTTAGTGCACTTTTGTTTGTTCGCCGATTAGTGCATCTTAGTTTGCTTTGCTGACACGTTGGAAACACCATGAAATCCAACGAGAGCTCATTCGGAATAAATGGCATTCATCGCGTCGCACATTGCCTAAATTTTCCGTCACCCCAGTTATTAACACCGCGTGTACGTGCAACAAAAGCAGCCATAGACCTGCTCAGCATTGTATATGCCGCGTAGTTTAATCGCTGCTAGATCATGCATGAATTTAGCTGTTATCGATGGCCGGGGAGCCCAACTACAGTTATTTAGACGCTGTTTGCAGGGTTGCCTGCAGCCGTTCGGCGCGTCCCTGTACACCCTCTGCAAATATTAAGAACGGTGTCATATGGCTCGAAGTGAAGTGCTCGTGGTTGACAAAGGTGTTGTTGCTTGCATTTCATCGCTGGCCGTGACACCAAGCTTCAGATGTTTAGCAACTCTCCGTGAAGCCCTGCTTCAGTTGTTCAATAGCTGTCCTTGAAGCACTGCTACAGCTGATCAGCAACTGTTCTCGAGGGCATGCTACAGCTGTTCAGGAACTGTGCGCCAGACCGCGTTGGGCTGGCCAGGAGCTATAAATAATGCCTTGCTACAACTGCACAGCAGCTGTGTATGTCATCGGGGTTTACGACGCACTCAGCTGCTGAGGCTTTATGGCGTCGTCTGCCTCTCACCCTGGCAGAAAGAGCGGGCGCCGCGGGGAATCAAACCTCGTACCTCTGGTTTTCCAGACGCGCAGTGGTTAACGCAGACACGTTGAAACTACCCTTCCAACACCCCACAGCAGCTGTCCATGAGCGACAGCTGTACCAGCTTAAGCTGTTTCGTGAATGAGTCCCACCTTAAGCTATTCGACAGCTGTCCTTCAGGGCCAGCTACAGTTTTTACGAAAAGATTCAGGCAAGATGTTACTGCCACGCACGAAATCATTTTTCATCTTTGTCTCTTATTTCCTCGTCTGGTGTGCTAGAATGTGCAGAACGTTTGAGTCTGAAGTTATTTTCAGATTGCTCGGTTGGTAGAGCACTGGCCTCATGATCAGAGGACGCTGGTTACGTCCCAGCAATTCCGAGGAGAGAATTCGTACTGTAAAGATGGCTCAAAGCCAAACATTTTCCAGATCTTCTCAGCAGTCAATAACACCAAGTGACGTATGAAGAATTCACTGGTCCAAACGTTTGGTAAATACTAACACAGGGCACGGGGACAGTATGCTGAACAATTACTCCCTCTGCACTACAACCGTTCAGGAACTGTGCATGGGACCCAGCCTAGGCCATCCAGGAGGTGCAACCGAGGCCATTCTGCGGCTGTCCAGCAACTGTCCGTTAGGCTACGCCACAGGTGTTCCACAACCTGGCACGAGGCCTACTAACAGCTGTTCAGCAGCTGTCAGTGAGTCCCAGCTGGAGCTGTCGGTGGGCGTCACCCGAGGCTAAGCCTGCGGCTGGCGCGCGATTGTCCAGGTCTGCCGCATCCCTCGAGCGGCCCGCGAATGTCCGGCCTCCCGAGGGCGGCTGCTGACGAGCGCGCCCGGTCAATACGGGCCTGATCGTTATCTCAGCCGAGGCACCACTATGGCCGGCCGCCGCACCTCGGCCGGACGCGGCGCGCCGGCCGCCGGCCGCCGCCCGCCAGGCCGCCAGGCCACGCACGGTCAGCCGGGTCACGTGACGTCCGGCTCTGGCCGCCCAATCAGGCCGCTGGCCGGCGCATTTAGCGCCCGCCGGCTGATTACTTGCAGGCCAATTTTATTATCCGCCGGAGCTGCTTAAGCACCCCATAAAGTCCGAATTAACCGGTTCTTATTATACGGGGGAGACCGGTTGGGCGCTGGGTCGCGCGTCGCGCCAATGTCGCGGTCGCGCGCGCTGTGTACGTGCCCACTTTGTGGTGCATCCGGGAAGGATTAAGCAAGCGGTGCTAGCGGTGCTAGCGGCAACCGCAGGCGACTCCAGGCCCCCTTCGACGTTATCTCGGCTATCTGAGACATGCGTTGCTGTGCGGTGCAGTGTCGACAAAGCAGGATATTGGCCAATGCCAGTTCATTGGCACAGTGAGATTGAACGAACTTTGCAAAAATGCCGCGGATGTGATGCATACATCCGGTGCTGTTGCAAGACCATACGTGAACCATTAAAAACAAGGGAAGCCACCAAATCTGGCGCAGTTTCCATCTTCTGGCCCATATTGGGAGTTGGTTGAGTGCGAGGGACGTGAGAGCCTTGTAAGCGACTCGGGTGATGTCCGGCGCAAGGCATTATCGCAATGCTATCAGCCTAATAATTATATATATATATATATATATATATATATATATATATACATATCAGCTTCACTATTTTTATTAATAACTATTATCTATGATCCTAACCTTTATCATTTAAAGTAAGCTGCCCGACCCAATGACGTTATTCGGTCAGCCGCCACGGATCGATTAAGATTAAGCAACTTGTTTGGCCGTATTGTGACCTTGGCCTCATTCTCCCTGAATGCGCATGCTGCCTTGTTCACCGCAGTACAGCCATGGCCCTATCTGCCTCCGGTGTGGGCTGTGTCAGCCAGGCACCAACCTCCGGTGTGGGCTGTGTCAACCAGGTACCAACCTCCGGTGTGGGCTGTGTCAGCCAGGTACCAACCTCCGGTGTCGGCTGTGTCAGCCAGGCACCAACCTCCGGTATCGGCTGTGTCAGCCAGGTGCCAATCTCCGGTGTCGGCTGTGTCAGCCAGGTGTCAATTTCCGTTGTCGGCTGTGTCAGCCAGGTACCAACCTCCGGTGTTGGCTGTGTCAGCCAGGTGCCAATCTCCGGTGTCGGCTGTGTCAGCCAGGTACCAATCCGCTGGTCGGATCGTATCTAACCGGGTTGACCAAAACTGGTCAGGTTTTGTCATGTACTGCTCTCTCTGATATACCCCAATCACCATCAAGCTGTCCTCTGCCTCGCACCTGCTAATATGTTTTAGCTCTGATCTGGCCTAACCCGAGACCCTTGTCTTTCATATGACACCGATATAATCTGACCTGCCCTGACCTGATGTGATTCAACCTGACCCGACATGGACCAGCACAAGCGGACGCGGTCCGACACGGTGATCATGGCATGACCCAAAATATCTTGGCATTGCCTTATATGACCTAACGTGACCTGAGACACCTGACATAGCCTAACGTAACCCGGTATGACCCACCTTAACGCAACGCGACCCGACATGAACCACCTCAACGTCACTCGACCTGACACGGTGTGACCTGAGCGGGCCGGGCTGCGTGTCCGCCCTCCCTGCCGCGACAGCTGACCTGACCTGTCGCGGCCAGAGGTCGGCCGTGCCGGTGGCGCCGTGCTGCTGCCTCCGTCGGCGGCGGGCCCGGCCGCCGGACAACGGTATCGATTCGGAGCCCGCCAGGCTATTTTTAGGTACAACGCGCTGGGCTTTGGCATATTGTGCAAAGAGAAAAGCCGGAAAACGTGTTCAGTTGAGGCTGTGAGTACGGTAGTACACCGTAGACGGGGAAGGTGCGATGTGTATTGGCCATAGGATGCAGCGCGAGTATCTTGCCAGCCAGACGCTGAGGCGGAGCAGAGAGCGGCAGCACGCCGGCCGGCCGCGCGGCTGCCGGCCCAGACGCTGCTCTGAATTCTGAAATTTGCTGAGTTGTACGGATGTCTGCAGTCTGCAGGTTTTCAACATTTGCCCGTTAAAGGGGCCTCTCTTGCCATGTGGCTCAGTTCGCTCCCGACTCCAGTCTTCACCCATTTCTACCAACATGACACATCTCATATCATGCACACTAAGTGACAACAAATGTTTAGTCTGTGAACGCTTACAAATGCAAAATTAACCGCTGTAAAACCCGGTGCGAGGCGCTGTTTTCTTTCGCCGCACAGTGGGTGAGGCGGCACTCCCAGCCCATTTCTGCTTAAAAGCTGGCATGCCGAAAACTCGACATCACAGAGCAAAACTGCGTCTGATTGAGTTCAGCGAACACCACCGAAAATGGCATTTGGTGAGTCAAATCAGGCGGTGTGGTAAAAAATTGAATGTTGTTTATCCTAGCAGTTTTGTGCTTTAAGGCAGTGGATAATAAAAAAAGTAATCCAAAGATGTCATTCCCTAAAAATGTAGTCACATGACACTGGCTTTTGACCTTGAAATGGTACTTGCCCTTGCCCTCGGATGGTCTGAACTCACGATTGCATTTCATTCAGTCATATCACCATTGCCGGTTGTATATCGAGATTGTGGAAATTAATGTAGGAATCTGTCCTACGGTGTCCTTTTTGGCAATGTACTTAATCGAGCACTTGGATGAAATCATATCCTACATGAACTCAACAGACAGATACAAACGCGAATGAAAGTACTGTCTAGTGTAAATTAGGCTAGTAAAATGTCGTTTTCATGCTTAACGTGACTCAAATTTTATTTCAAGCTTTAGTACCTGGGTATCATTGATTGGCTTTCTTGGTCTTGCTTAGGTAAGCTTTTGTAATAAGTATTTGCCTCTTTACAATGATGCTAGCTTCTGTAACATGTCATTTATTTCTTTACACGGACTCGGGTGCGGGTCAATTTGATCCCTAGCACAGAGGGATTTTTTAGGAATAATTTTTGAATGGCGTGGCTATGCCGCATCAAACTTTGCATAGCGGTAGAGAATTGAATCACGGATCTTTTGATGCAAAAAATGGACTTGTCTTGTGAGGTCGCTGACCTATGACAGATCAAAGTCGCGCCATGGCTGTCAGCGAATGACATTTTCAAGGGATTATTCAATGTGATGCAACAACGAAATGTTAGAAGAAGCCACACATATCTGAGATACTTTTTCAGAAGTTAAAGCTAGTCTGCTTTTTACATGAGAGCTTGGATTGTGGGGAAGTTTCTGATGCTCATTTTGAATTTTGATGACGGAGACCGCAATAAATATGTTCCGTTAAGTTTTTAAAGGTCAGAATAGTTTGTGACCTAAAATGACCAAGGTCAACCTTTTAAGTGTTTAGCGTAATCCCTTACGCTTTTTCGAATGACAAAATAAGAGCAATCTCGTCGATATTTGGTCATCTTGACCTAATAAAGATCAAACAAGGTCACTGACCATATTGAACGCCACTAACTTTTGGCTTAAAACAGGGATGTAGATTCACGGCAGTTTTATGAGTAGATCTGGGGCCTTAAATATCAGAAATGCCTCAGTCTCATCACATGGGATCGAGATTTAGTACTAGAAAGGTCCCCAGGATGTGAAGCTAGGTTTCCTGTACCGAGAAAAAAGAAATTCTCCATGACTGAAAAGGAACCTTATGACCTCACTGCTCCCCTCTGGAAGCCTTCGCTGTTTTTGAGGGACTGATTGCCCTAAAATATGTAATACGAATGGAGTCGAGTATGCAGTCAAAAGAACATTTCATGTTTCGCTTCTTTGTAGCCATGTGACATTTCGGCTGACAATCAAAGCAGGCTTTTCCTTCCAAAGGAGGTTGCGTGGCGGGTCTCCCCCCCCCCTCTCCCCCTAAATAGTAGCAGCGTGACCAGTCCCCTCCAGCTCCAGGTGCGTGGAAAGTTATCCTTCCAAAACCGGCTGCGCGGTTAGCCTCACCTCCAACCGCGGCTGCGGGGCCGACCTCCCCTCATGAAGCGGTTGAATGGCCGGTCTCTCACTGGCCGGTCTCCCCTCATGAAGCGGTCGTGTGGTCGGTATCTCACTGGCCGGTCTCCCCTCATGAAGCGGTCATGTGGCCGGTCTCTCACTGGCCGGTCTCCCCTCATGAAGCGGTTGTGTGGCCGGTCTCTCACCGGCCGGTCTCCCCTCATGAAGCGGTTGTGTGGCCGGTCTCTCACCGGCCGGCCTCCCCTCATGAAGCGGTTGTGTGGCCGGTCTCTCACCGGCCGGTCTCCCCTCACGAAGCGGTCGTGTGGCCGGTCTCTCACCGGCCGGTCTCCCCTCATGAAGCGGTCGTGTGGCCGGTCTCTCGCCGGCCGGTCTCCCCTCATGAAGCGGTCGTGTGGCCGGTCTCTCACCGGCCCCGTTGGACAGCCCTGATTGCGGACGCTGGCCGGCCGGCCGGGGCAATTTTCCAGACGGCCGTCGATGGTCGCGGCTGTATTGTGGCCGCCGACCCGCGGCCGGATACCATAATGGCAAGAGGGCCGGCCGGCGCGCCAATGGTCCCCTGATTTCGGCGCCGCCGCGCCGGCTCGGTCACCGCGCCCCGGCTGGATGAGTAGGTGATGTAATTGTGAGGCGGCCTCCGCATGCCGGCGAGGGGCCGCGGTCGACGGTGAGTCGCCGGCGGTGGTGCGTGACCTGGCGGGTTGTCGTGCCGGGAAGGCGTGCCGGCGTGTCCCGTCTCCCGCTCTCCTGCCGACGTCGACCCGGTGTCTCTCGAGCTCGTGCGCCGGCGTCTCCTGATCAATGCCTGGATGGTGTGCGCCACCGGGGGGTAATAACGGACGGCGAGCGGGAGAATCGTCCTTGTCACCGGCAGCGGCAGGGCATCGCGGTCTCTGGCTACCGCGCTCAACGCCCCGGGCGTCTGCCAAAGCGTCAGCATATTAAGTATACGCTGGAGTAAAACTGACGTCCAGATGAGACCTAGGAGTTGTCACGAGCGCTGCCGGCTGCGTCGCATCGACTCGTCGCCCCCGAACAGGCGGCGCCAAGGTCACTCTTCGTCGCCCCTGAGCAGGCGGCGCCAAGGTCGCCCGTCGCCCCCAGGCAGGCGGCGCCAAGGTCACTCTTCGTCGCCCTCGAGCAGGCGGCGCCAAGGTCGCCCGTCGCCCCCAGGCAGGCGGCGCCAAGGTCACTCTTCGTCGCCCCCTGTGTATGCACGAGGCGTGCTGTCGCGCAAATGGGAATGCCTCATTCGAGGATGATACTTGGACGCTAATGGAGATCGAGGATACGAGACGGACGTTCATCAGTGATGGTGTCATGTGTGGCGCTGAAAACGGACGACAGAAATTTAAACGACGAGGTGTCCTACGTCCAAACCGACTGGCTTGGACTTTGGTTGGATACGACGGTGAAAATTAACGATACCATCTTGCACGATAAAAGCAACAGCAAATAAAAGACAGCCAACTAAACGCAACCGTTTTGCTGGAGTGGTTCCTGCACTCGAAACCCAACAAGAAGCAAACCAAATCTTAGCTCGCGATGACCTACTGATTCAAGCAATACCCCTCTTCTTATTGCCTGAAAGGGGTACGCATCAAGAAGGCCCTTGGCCAAGAAGGTTAAGAAGGCCAAGAAGGCCAGGAAGGCTCAGGACAAGAAGGCTTCTGAGCCTTCCCAGATTGGTTCAGCAGATTTCCGCGGCCCTCAAGCAATCAGGTTGACACATTTGGCGCACACAAATATGTCACTGCATGGTTAGAACTCAAAGATATAACATGATTAAGGCCCTCTTGACTATTTTCAGAAAGTAACAATTTAAAGTTTCTGTTCTTGTTTACGACTTTTTAGGGTATTACAGCTGGTATGACCTCGTGACCAAGAGTCATATAACATAAGCTGGAATCAGGTCCACTCCACAGATCCTGAGCAGAACGCCAGTGTTTCGGCTGTTTATTTGCTTAAATCGGCCAGTAAACCACGGGAAGATTTTAGAACCGACCACTTTCCATTTAATGGATCTATAATGGGTCAACAAGTAGCCTGCATTGTTTTTTTCTCACAGCAACGAGACTCGGACTGATGTCGCCTGATGCCAGCCATGACGATCGTGAGCATTGAAGTATGCTACTGGTGGTGAAGACCACGTTTGAGTTTCTTTTCAATATCGTGCCAACATAAGGTGCGACGTTAATTACATTTGCAGGTGCTACAGGACTGCAGGGTCGTGCGACAATATGATGAGTGTCGGCGCGTCTTTCATGACCGGTGACGTCATGATAAATTGGACTCAAGTTAACTCCCATCCGATCATGGCTGGCGTGGTATCCTGCACACAGTCCCCACCCATACCCTCTCCGATACCCGCAAGCAGTCGTGCTGACAAGCGTGCGGCTGTTTACATACTGGCGTCACGGTCTCCGTCCCCAGCCGCACAGCGGGCTGGTCCGACGTGACAGCGCCATCTGCCCGCAGGACCGTAAGTTCGTCACGGACGTGCCGTACAACGGTCAGCCGACCCGACCCCACGGCAGTCCGGACCGGTCCCAGTCGCCATCCCCCAGCCGCCACCTGCTGCCATCCTGCTGCGGCCGCCGCCGGAGAAAGGCCAAGAAGGAGACCAAGCAGGTGGGCGCCGCGACCGCGGCCAGCGCGCAGACGCGACCTCGGGGCAACAGAGGCGACAGCGTCGGACGCGGGCAAGGCGGGAGCAGATGAGCGAGCATGGGACCAGACAGGGAGGGAAAGAGAGAGAGAGAGAGAGAGAGAGAGAGAGAGAGAGAGAGAGAGAGAGAGAGAGAGAGAGAGAGAGAGAGAGAGAGAGAGAGAGAGAGAGAGAGAGAGAGAGAGCAGGGTGTTAACGTGGCCGGATCAAGTCTCAGACACAGGGGGCAGACCGCAGACAAGATGGGTAAGGACTAAAGGAAAGGGCAACCTAGCGGAAGTAATCTAAGCTTTTAGTCAGTGAACTAAGCTGCTTAGTGAGTACATGTCTGTTTCGTTAGCGAACACTCTGCTGCGGCAGATAGTTAACATCAGGCACCATGCTGAGCACAGTAATATGTCTCGAAACACCGTTATATCGTACTCCTCATACGCTGTACCAAATGTGCTTACGGAACAGTGCACCTTACCTGAGGACTTCGCGGAATGTGACAAAGCCTTGCGTTATCTCGGTTCCACTTTGGGAAATAAGGGCCGCCGCCTCCAGTCTGTGCGAAGCGCGGCTCCCCTGCGTCGCGGCCGCGTCGGGTTGTCCGAGCGGCCGCAGCATTTGTCTTCTTCGCCGCCAGCTGCTGGCGGGTGGGCAGCAGATGGCGCGGCAGCAGCCGCCTCCGGGCTCTGAGCCCAGCTAAGTGCTACGCGTCGCAGCGTCACTTCCACGGATGGCCGCCGGCGCTTGACGTCACGCGCCTCGTGTGCAGACGGCGGCTCTGTTTGAGGGGGCGGGGAGGGGATTCCGGTCTGGGGGCGCGTGGGCAGGACCGTGGGTGGCCTGCCGACCGGCCGGCTGGCTCCATCTGCCACTGACCCAGCGCTGTTTACCAGCTGGCTGCCGGTCGGTCGGGATAGCCGCCACCGCCGCCGCCGCCGCCGTCGCCGCCGCCGCCGCCGCCGCCACCGGACGGAACCGAGTCGTCTGGCGTCTCCGTTCAATTACTACCGATCCCGGCGCCGTCCGGCCGACCCGGGGCTCTCGACGCTCCCCGCCCCGCCCCACCCCCTCCCCACCCCCGGAAGGGTCACCGTCTGGTTCACCGCTCGGGCGTCGGCCGCGGTCCAATGCAAGCCGTGGCCCGACCATCCCTACCGCCTGTCCGCCCCACCGCGCGCCGTCTCCGGCGCCGCGCGGTAGGCCCGCGCGGCACGAGCGACGTGCGGCGGCGCACGGGCCACCACCGCGCCGCTGACACCCGCCAAATATCCCATTCGGAGGTCATATTGATGGCCATTGGCGTCGAACGGGCGGCGTCTGGTCGGGCGGCCGCGGCGCCGATCGCCTGCCGCCAGCCGCTCGTCCCTAATGCTCTTATTTATTCTGATGGGACCCATGAATATTGACTGTGGCGCGGTGGGCGGCGGCGCCGGCCGCGCTCTTCGTGCGATGGGAGGAGCGCGCCGTCACTTCTGCCGCACCGTCACCTTTCCATCGCCGTCGCATTTTCATGACCGTCACTTACCCTGCGCCGTTACCTCTGCCACGCCGCCGGTTTTGCCGCACCGTCAGTTATCCTGCACCGTCAGTCTGCCGCGCTGTCCCTTTCTCCGTGCCGACATTTGTTCAGTCCGTGTTCTCATATCACGCGCGTCTTCCCATGCCCAGTTTGTCTCTACCTGTTCTGATGGCCTTCCCATGCCTAGCTCGTCTCCCCCTGTCCTAACCGCCTTTCCCATGCCCAGTTCGTTTCTCCCTGTTCTGACCGCCTTCCCACGCCTAGTTCGTTTCTCCCTGTTCTGACCGCCTTTCCCATGCCCAGTTCGTTTCTCCCTGTTCTGTACCGCCTTCCCACGCCTAGTTCGTCTCCCCCTGTTCTGACTGCCTTTCCCATGCCCAGTTCGTTTCTCCCTGTTCTTACCGCCTTCCCACGCCTAGTTCGTCTCCCCCTGTTCTGACTGCCTTTCCCATGCCCAGTTCGTTTCTCCCTGTTCTGACCGCCTTCCCACGCCTAGTTCGTCTCCCCCTGTTCTGACCGCCTTTCCCATGCCCAGTTCGTTTCTCCCTGTTCTGACCGCCTTCCCACGCCTAGTTCGTCTCCCCCTGTTCTGACCGCCTTTCCCATGCCCAGTTCGTTTCTCCCTGTTCTGACCGCCTTTCCCACTGCCTAGTTCGTCTCCCCCTGTTCTGACCGCCTTTCCCATGCCCAGTTCGTTTCTCCCTGTTCTTACCGCCTCCCCACGCCTAGTTCGTCTCCCCCTGTTCTGACCGCCTTTCCCATGCTCAGTTCGTTTCTCCCTGTTCTTACCGCCTTCCCACGCCTAGTTCGTCTCCCCCTGTTCTGACCGCCTTTCCCATGCTCAGTTCGTTTCTCCCTGTTCTGACCGCCTTCCCACGCCTAGTGTCTCACCTTGTTCTAACCGTCTTCCGCTGTGCCACGCGTAGACTCCAGCCCCGAGTGTTGATCCCATGTTTCCCTCGCGTGAAAAGCGAGTTACATTTCACTGACTCTGAACGTATGTATCATCACCCTACTGATGTGAGGGTCAAGTAAACCTGTACATTGGCCACCGTAGGCGAGTCCGGGGGACCGACCTAGACCAACCAACCGACCTCCCCCCTTTCCTGGCCAAAGCATTGCTGTGAAAAAATGAAATGTTAACCGGCTTATTATTACTGAAATGCAGCTTTTGGGAGAAAGGTAGCTTAAAATCACTCTCCCTTTCCTAGCTTTGGCCAGAAAATAATGTGATAACAGATTCAGGTACACATCAAGCAAATTTAAAATAAGTCGCATGCAGTATACCAAGTTCATCTCATTGAGCAACGAAAGTAAAGGACTGGTGAACATATTAGATGCAGTTAATGCAATTCCGTGTCGTGAATAATTCAAGCATATACAGTGCAGTTACGATTCAGTGCATTTGTATTGCAATTCCGCAGAATTTTGCCGTGGCTGCGTGCTATTAACAAGGGTTACCGTGCGCGTCTGTTGACCTTATGTACAGTTGTTCCACATTTTTGCATCGATACAATGCCGGCGCACATTGCACATCGCGACAATAAATAAAAAACAAACAAAGCATACGTGCACAAGGTTAGTTTGACCCGAAATTTGCTAACGCGGCTCGTATTGCGCACTACCCCGAGAGCTGCTCTTTTCTTTGTAGCAGTCCCATCACTTTAGAATGTTATACGCACTCGCTGTCGGTAACCAGTTTTTGTATCTAAAAGTTTATCACTGGTCGCTATAGAAATGACGATACCCTCCTTTCTTTTTCTCCAGTTTCCCCCGTCATCTGGAGTTTTCCCCTCCTCCCAAACCGTACAGTGACCAGTGTTCAGAACATGCTCTGATAACCCCGAATGACCTGTAGCCGCGTTTTTTTTTTTTGTTTACCTCTCCCTGGTGATCGTCACCCCTTCTGGGCTCTAAGGTTCTGCACGTTGTGGATGCAGGTCATTGTACCGTGTGAGAAAACAGTGATTCTTAGGTCATGAAACAAACAAGAAAAAAGGAAGGATTTCAAAGGGTGTCCTATTTCATTAAGTTTGCATCGGAATGACATAACATTGTCCTAAGTATTTCCATTAGCTGTCTAGTTTTTTGCATGAACTATGTCCTAGCTCAATAATATCTTAAGTTACACCAATGTAGGCAATGCAGGGCAAAAAATGACGCATTTCTTGACTTGGATGTAAATATGAGCCACCTTGGGTGGGACTATGCTCTAAGGACTTTTTGAAGAGGGAAGTAAAATCCGACGAGTTTGTGAAAACTAAGACACCTTTTTCAACTTTCGCCCACCAAGCCGACGCGGACCACCAAGGCGGCGCTCTGGCCCCTGCCTTTGCTGCCTCCCACCAACGTTTAAAAGGCTTGACATGCCAGTTCACCTTCTCTCGTCGTGCGGTTCGTCACTTATCGCACGCAAACCCATGTCTCGGTGGTCCCCTGTCCAGCCTGTCCTACATCGCGCCGTTGGCACACGTGGTGCGACAATCTCTGGTCCGCAGCACGCTCGTCTCTGTTCCACGCGGCTCATCGACTGCATTGTCTCATGTTTTGCCCTTTTTCATGTCTCTCACCGAACATCACCCTGAGTCTTTGCATGCTCTGTGTCGCCTAAACAAGTCGCAGCCAACACATACCCCGTGCGTCGTCAGCCTTTGTCCTTTGTCCCATCACATGTCCTGCGCGTCGTCCCATGTCGGCCACGTCGTTCGATGCCGTCGCCTCGTCAACGTCACGCGCCTCGTCCGCTATCCCCGCGTCGTCCCCTATCTTCACGTTGTCCCATGTAGCGGGTGATGACCCATGGCCGGCGCTTTGAGCCGTGTTCCGCACGTCCAAGCGGCGCTAATTGTCACCGCTCGCCCGCGGTGCGCTGTCGGCCTCGGGAAGCCGCGCTCGTAAATTTGCGGATCGCCGGGACGGGACAGCCGAAGCGTGCCGATCAGCTATTTGTTCCCCAGCCGACGTTTGTCGGAAGGCGGCGCGGGCCGGCGCGGCTCAGTGGAGAAGCCGCCGCCGGATCGGAAGGTGTTTACTTTTTCGCGGACGTTCCGCGCGGAGGCGCGGTCTGTTATCGGCTGCCGTGGCGACGCGAGAGCCCGCGCGGCTGGTTATGGTCCCATCCTTTGTGGCTTCGCCAGAAAGCCGGTATCGATCTTGGCGGCGGGCAATGCTTGGATTGCGAATGTGCAATGAACTATTTTAATGCGTTTCGTGCAACATATATATGAACCTTGAATTAGGTATTTAGGAATTAGGCTAATTAGGTATTTCGTAAGCTCTTTGGCCTGCCACGGAGCTTGTAGATTTCCTAGAGTTTGCAAACTCCCTGGGTGGTCCGGGACTTTGCAAATACCCCAGGCAGCTCGCAACAATCCTAGGTTGCATGTAAAAGAAGACTTTGTATTTTCCACTGCAATGGTGAAAACCAATCACATGCTTAAGTAGGTGCACAGG